GTTTACTTCTAGTACTTGAATTAAGTAGCTTGTCAATTGTAAGGACGCTATGATTTTCGTACGAATTATAATTATACAAACTACTAATATTTAGTCTTAAATTGACACTTCAACGGTTTAAAATGCGATATATTTTAGTTAAACATATGTATTTGAAAATTATTTTACCTACCGCCGGACGTTAGTGTTTTATTTAAATGTGTACTACTCGCGTAAACTAGTGGGTGTTTTATACGTACACTAAATTTGGGACTTCTTAAACGTTTTTTTTTGTCAGCCTCTAACAGTTCCCACTGTTGGGACTTGGGATATTATAAGGCTTAAGTTACTGTAACGCCGAGGTGACACATACGATTTTCGGTTCTAAATTTTGAAGGTAGAACTCTCAAACACAGCGATGTATTTTTTCAGTACCCGTACATCGACCATGTTATACTGTGCTCTCAGACTTATTATCTTTAATTCATTATTATATTACTTAGTAAGTAGTTGCTTAGCTTCTATTGCATTCTATTAAATTTTTCGGTAATCAAATCCGTACAATACCTCGTGTCGTTTCTAGGCAACGCGTTTAAATACGCAAACTTAAAGAAGTTACAATCTTAAAATATTGGCCTACTTACTGTGTACTCACGTTATAATAATTAAAATGTATTGTATGCCCATAAGGCTCCATAAAATAACTAATTCATTTGCGAGAAATTATGTTCGTTTACACTGCCAGTTGCGGTTAGGTTGCTTTTTAGAACACTATGTAGAATCACGACAGACAGACAGACAAACATTTTTCATTTTCTTTTGTTTTGACGAATCTAATTAATGTTTAAAATTGTAAAGAGAATACAGTTTTTCTCTTTTTCTTTAATTCTGGTAAAATTTTGACGCAATCGTAAATTGTCAAATAGAATTTACTTATCATATTTATAACTATTATTTTATTAACGTTCGCATCGCTCATCGCAGTTCACAAATCATTAGCGACTTGATTGATTGCACCAGATCCGTTCTTAATTGCTCAAACTCCACAGATCGCGTTTTGTGCTGGCGGAAATAAATCATCCAATTAATTTATAATATATTAGCTACGTTTAAATAATAAATTTATACGAGCTCATTGGTGCAATGGTAGCAATGTAATCAAAAGTCATGGGTTTGAGCCCCACCGCGTCGAGCATTTTTCTAAAGAGTTTATAGTTTTTCTCAATGTTGGTCTAACGAATAAATGGGTATAAAATATTCTTTGTTATTCTTCTTATATAATGTTTGTAAAATTTTATTGGCGTTGTTTTTAAATAAATCTATTTCTAAGTTTTTTTGTTTAATCTTAAAATTTGATATATTTAAGTTGAAAATAAAACAACAGTCTATCACAGATGCGCCATTTGTAAGGTGTCAATCTTCCATTGTTAGTAAAATAATTTTCTTTGTATAATATTTCGTACTTGACCTGTATTTTGCATTTTATTGCACTACTGACTACACAATCGCTGTTGAGCCACAGAAGATAGAGGACAGTAGGGCCGTTTAAAATCGTCTATCAGTATTCTATTATGCAAAGTACGCGATGCATTGCATAGTTAAAGAGAGTTCAATTGATTTTGTACGGTCTATTGTGTTCAGGATAGTTTATTATATTTCTGATCTAACAGTTTTCAATATCACATTTAAGTGAAAACAATTTTAACGGTTCGAAACCCGAAATATATTAACTTATTGCTTTGCAGCAGCTGTGATCACTGGGCCATAACATCAGAACATAGTTATTTTAACTTAAAAATGAGTTATTTCGCGTTATAAAACGTTATTTTTTTTATTTGTGTAATATTCGCGTTAAACTACAGAATATATCGAATTGTATCACAGACAACGCGACTTCCATAAACTTATTATAGAATACCTTACTGTTTGCATGTGCCCTGTGGTGATACGTTGACTACAGGATGTTCACTGTGTAGTTATTATAAATAAAATGCTTTAGATATTATTGTAAAATATTGTAAGGAAGTTATGGTTGTTTCCCTTACTGGTATCCATGTCAATGCCATTTAGTGGGTATTGCTTGAAGATATTTCGTAATAACTATATTAGGCAATTTCTTATATTTCATTCGGTATTGAAGAAACTATTCTTCGGGTCTTCTATTTATTTACCGGGATCGTTAAATATAAGTTATTTAATTCTTCTAGGCATTTAGGATTCTTTACAAGTCACAAGGAATTTAAAAATAGAAAATAAATTGAAAAAAATTTCGACTCGGGCAGGACTTGACTTGGCATCGTCAGCGTTCCGTGCTGTTGCTCTGACGCTGACGATGCCGGTTCAAGTCGTGCCCGAGTCGAAAACTCGGGCACGACTTGAGCCGGTTGATTTGAACCGCTTGATTTTTTTAATTTCTTTTCTATTTTGAAATTATATAGTGAGTTTATGTGCAATAACATGTGAAAAATATTAATGTTTTCAAAGTCACAAGTAGTTCAATTTCGCTAAACTACATATAAAATATTTAAAACTTGTTAAATATTGTAACTTGTTTATTTATTTAATTACATATTTTTATTTTGTTTAGAAACTCTATTTAGATGTAACATATTATGCTACATGCAACGTGTACATAATCACGGTTACAATATAATAAAAATAAAATAAGTTGTGTAAAATAAAAAATATTTCTATATATAGACCAACACGAATATTTTTAAATAAAACACTTTAACGGCTTAAAACGCGATATATTTTATTAATTTATTTATTTATTTGAAATTATTATTAATTTATTTGAAAATTATTTTAACTCACGCTCCGGGTGTTTTGCAGCAGCGGTATTGACGGGGAAACATATTATATCGCGTTTTAAACCGTTAAAGTGTTTTATTTAAATGCGTACTACTCTCTTAAACTACAGACAGTTTTTAAGTATTGTATAAATCTCAGGTCTCACGTCTAAGTAAGTTAATTCTATAAATGAATGTTAAAATTGTGAGAAAAACAATTTTATCATTAATTCACAAAGTATCAGACGGCGAGTAATTAAAAAACTCCGAAATCATGTCAATAGCTTTTTTTACGAGTTCGCTCTTAATTGGACGCATTAATTTGTGTAACATTGTCCATGTAAGTAGACACGATTATGAGGTTTTGATAAATTTGATAAGGCGTAGATTGTGTTGACAAAGTTATTGTGGATTGTGTAAGGCTTTCACGGCCATCGTTGAACATATCGTTTTTCGGGCTGTTCGGCATCATCAGGAGAAGTTAGCTCGTCGATTGCTCGAAGAATTAATCCGGTTGATGCCGTCCGCTAGTGCTGGCGAAAAGTCGAGACCCACTCATGTCAGCCGAACAACAATGATATGCCAAAGTTATTGTGTATGAAGTATTTTGAAGTGAAAGCCTCCGTTTTAAATTTAAACTACTTCGTTGCGTTACGACGTTTTTTGATCAAATCATCGGGGCGTCTTGACGCTTCTTTTGTAATAGGAGACGAAGACAGGTTATATTTTGTGCAAGACACAAAGGTCCATTAATTAAAGGAAATTTTCGTACACACCGTCGCACAGAAAGAAATTTCTTGAGATTTGATTCCACCTGTAATATTAGATTACGTGTAAGTTTTAAAACTTTTTAAACCGGCAACTCATTTTTTCTTTAGTTCTTAGTAGCTGTATCAGCGACTTTATCCGCGTCGAATATTTGTTTTGGCCATTAAAATTTGTTTTTGCATACCTCGTCCTCGACTTTATAAATCAAAGTTTTTCACGACATCGGTCGCTTTAATCCTTAAAGATAAACATATAATGTCGCGGTAATTTTTTAGATAATTTTAAGAGGAATAATTCTTACCTACATATTTTTTGGGTATCTTGAACCGTCGCCGCGCAACGGAAGCCCTCAAAGATCCGGTTTTTTTCTTCCTCGATAAACGTTCTAACCAACACAAAACTAGTCCTTCTCGTTTATTTTTCAATTTGAACCAGTAATTCCTGAGATTAGCGCGTTCAAACAAATAAACAAACAATCACTCAGCTCTATGTATTAGTATAGATTGTGAAAATGGTGATACTTTGGTTGTGGTCTGTCAACTTGAAACAATAGCTTAAGGACTAAGCATGCATATTTATCACGTTCTGAATACTTCGTGCGCTGCTAAATTGCTAATCGACTGTGTATCCTTATTGAGGTTCTAGTCCTTGGATTATAATTTCTATTAAACAAGAAAATATCTGCGCTACTTCTAAAGAAATACCAAAGGAGCTATAATACATAATATATGAAAACTATAATTTTTGAAAACTTTAATATTTTTTACATGCACATGAAGGCAATATATAATAAAAAATCAATTTATTTTCGATTTTTATGTATATAACTTTGTAATATGATTTCTTAAGCTGCAATGCACAAGAAGTTGTATCTTTAAACGCAAGTGTTAAGGTTGAAATTACATTGCGTGAGAGGTGCATGTATCAATAAGTTGAAAAAATTCGATGATGAGGTGTAGGACTCAGTAGCTCAATTGGTAGAGCAACAGCACGGAACAGCCGGTTCAAGTCGTGCCCGAGTCGAAATTTTTTTCAATTTATTTTCGAATTTCAAATTACAGTTCTAGATTTCTTGGGTAGGACTACCCACAAACCCAAAAGACGAATATTGAGGCACTACAGTCAATACCATAATTCGAGTCCTACTCATGTTATTTCATTTCACACACACATACACATTTTAATAGATCACCTTTTTAGAACGCGAAATACATTAATTAACATTGATAATTTTACAGTAACACTATAACTGCATTCCCAATTTTTAATCCATATCTTACTTATTATATTTGATAACAGTACGATTTATTTTCCCCGCCTAGGCATGTCATTGAGGTAGAAATTTAAGACATCATCATAGTTAATCAACAATTTTCTTTCGTTTTTTTTTACTAGATTGTTTTTTGTTTGTGTACATTAAGGATAAAATACAATAAAAAGTATATGTATGTATACTTCCAGGCTGCCAGCGCCCTCTTCACGCTAGATGGTACTAAGAGTGAGGAACTATCAAGGCGCCTCGCTCGACGTCAAAAAAGGCGCAGACGCTGCCGAGCTGTTCTGGCGTTACTGGCGTTGTTGCTGCTCCTGGCAGCCGTTGCTGCTGTTGAGTTGCTCATGTCGAGGGGACAAAGGGTCTTTGGAGCTGTTTTACGTTAAGTAAATAAGATTGTCTATGTTAGCTGTGTTATACATGTATATGTATGTAAAAGCGGTGAAGCGAAATCGCGTTTTTAGTCTCCAGATTCCGGTTGTCTAGACTCAAAATAGATCGACAGTCCATCTGTTAGATGTTATATAGTAGTGCTATTATATAACTCCCAAAAAATCTTATTTCATGTCATAGTTTATTTGCAATTTATGAACTCTTAAACGAAAATATATATTTTTATCTTGCATATAGGAACTACTTTGAAGTTTACTCTTTATTTCATTATTTTTTTTACATGTTTCATGGAGTTATTCATATAATGCCATCATGTGCAATACACGTAAAGAATATTAAAGTTTTCTAACTTTAAACTCTGTAACTTCATTTTCAAAGATTGTCTTAAACTCAACTTTGTACACATTGAATCTTAACACACAAATGTTAAGATTGAAATTACCTTGCGCGAGAGGTGCATGTATCAATACGTTGAAAAATATCGACGCCGACATAGCTCAATTGGTAAGAGCAACGCATGGAACGTTGTGGATGCCGTTTCAAGTCCTGCCCGTGTCATATTTTTATAATGTAAAAAATTTTTTTTTTTATCTGTTATAATAAGTAATTACTTCTTTTGTTCTTGTTGTAGCAACTGATGACATAGGTGTCAAGAACAAGGATCTTGAAGCAAAAACCCATACCCTGATGATAATTAGTCATTAAACTGCCTACACTATAATTATACGTATGTATGTATGTAGTACGTATGTGTGTAGTTGTTACTTTCTTTTCAGTTACATTCTTTTTATGGCATGAAATAAACTTTGTGATAACTAGTAGTTAATGGAATATTAAAATTGTAATGTTCCTTAAAATATATGTGATAGTTTAGATTTAACTCGAAAAATTACTATTTACAAAAGGATTTGATGAGTAATGTATGTATAATTTTTTCTTTCTTCTAATTTATGTATAATTTTTCTGAAACATCTGCAATCTGGATATTAAATGAGTGGTAGGAATATCGTAATTCCGTCCACAGATGAAAAAGCCGTGAAGTTTAATCACGCTTCGGTTTCCGTATAATTTTAAGAAACATAGTATATAGAAAAAACAAGTTTCAAACCAACTTTTTAGCTTCAAATATTAATGGTTAAAAATGTCTACGTTGAGGTTATATAATAATTAACATATTTAGGTAATAGTTATCTTTAGCGAAATATATGTAATTAGATGTTTATAGAATTAAATTGTGATACATTCTAGTTTCTTGTATATATAATTAGTATGTACATATATTTTACTTTCTATCCGAATTAATTCTTTTTAGTAGATTACATGTTTGTCCCAGTTTTTAATTAAGTCAGATATATATAATAAGTATTGCAAAAGTGTGTAAAATTATGTAAAGCTAGTGTAAGAATTAGTTTTATGTATAGATTTATATTCTGTACTAGTTGTGTAAGCGACTTCGTCCGCGAGAATCGTTATTTGAGCTATCCAAATTCATTTTTGCAAACGCCTTTATCTTTATAACCTTTAGATGTTACCCACGACTTCGGTCGCGTCCCTATAACGTCGTTCTTGCAAGTTAGTCTTAAAAGAAAGACTAGACTAAATAGATAGACCATTTAAAGAAGAATCATTCTTTCATACATATTTTTGGATTGTCTTGAACGGTTTTCGCAGCATACGCATCAGAAACCCAGAGATGAAAAATTTCCCCCGTTTTGTTCACAGTTCCCGCTGTATCTTCGCTACTATTAGTCACAGCGCGTTTTATAGCTTTCCTTGATAAATGCTCTAATTCAAGAAGAAAAAATCTTCTTGATCTCAGGATTAGCGCGTTCAAACAAACAAACAAACTCTTTAGCTTTATATATTAGATGTAGACTAAGTTGTATTTGTAATAAACGGTGTACGGATAAATAAAGCCCTGATACGAAATAACAGATGGCGCTAGTGTAGCAGATTAACTTGACATTATGCCACCCACCATCTTTTATTCCACAATAACTATATCTGTTCAAAAGCATCAAACAGGTTAGGTCTAAGTTAAAAATTAATGCGATTTAATCCGTTTTATTTAATGTATTAAAATATTTTCGGTTTAGATAATGAGTTCAAATTATTTTTGTTATTAGAATGTGCCAGATTGTAATTGTTTAGTTAGTTGTAGTTTTATAATTTAATTTTGTATTAAGTAGACGATTGGAACAATTTAATGTTTAAAGTGTTAGCGAGTGTGTTTTGAAAAAAATGATGTCGACAAAATATTGCTATATCATGGTTTTCAATAATCATTTGGGATTTTAATTGGGTTTTTTAATCAACTTTCAATCTTATTGCTTGTGGTATTAGTGGTAATAGTAATTAGAAAAGCGACACACAATTGTAACTGTATACTGTCCTGGGGTTGCCATGATTTTTTATTTTTATTTTAATCAAATATAAAACAGGAGTGGAGCAACATGGAGGGTAAATGCCCCCCAGTTAAGACAACTGAGAATTTATTGAAATGTATATAGTGCCATGTAAATAGTATTTCTTATACTGACCAGGTACACAAGGCTCTTGTCTCCTCTAAACGCTGTAGATCGCGTACAGGAGCAGGCGTTACGCCACTTTTATAGGAGTACTGTTGTTTGAATAAAACACTTTAACGGTTTAAAACGCAAAGTTAGTTAAACTTATTTACAAATTTTAACCTCGGATTGTTTGCAAAAGCCGTGGTCACGGGAGATTTGTAAATAAATTTAACGAATATATTTCGAGTTTTAAACCGTTAAAGTAATTTATTTAAATGTGTACTACGCGCGTAAATTACACTATTATTGTTGTTGTATTTTTCACACACTGATGCTATTTTTAACGAGTTGCCTTTTGTTTCGTACTGACCAATAGCCTTTAATAATAGCAAGCATCTTGACGCTGCGTAACGCGTTACGCGAGATTTAACCTACTAAGTGCAGTTGATCACAATCTCAATTTTTGTAATTAGCACAGATATATTATTATAATTAAAATAGCAACAACATTATGAGTGTTAGACTCAAGTGTACATAAATATTATAAACAGTATTTTTTCTACTTTTTGGGTATCATGTTAATTAAAAAATTTAATCCGAAAAATGTTTGTTACACTTTGCGATACACAACATTAATTAAACCGACCGACCAATGTAAAGTAATATAAATAAATGTATGAAATATTTTATTAATTTTTATTATACCTGAGATATATGAGGCTGCTAGAGGCAGAAGGGCCTGATAACAAAAAACATGATTTTCTATAAGGAGGAAAATAAAAATGTGCAACTTAGGCGAACATTAATTTGTAATATTATTTGTGTAAAAATAATATTAACAATTTTCGGTCACTGTGCACAAAATATAAATTAGTCAAGTCATAAAATTGCAGTTAGGCTACTCTGTCTCTAGGGCTTAATATATAGAACAAAAGACTACGTCAATCGCTTCCCGCGTAGACTACATCGTCTATCTTTTGATCCAATTCATTCATAGGTACTCTGTCAACCACTTGACAGTTGAAAGCAACTGCTACCACCTGCAAATAAACGAAAACGTATGTTTACAAATCTTTATGTATAGAACAATATAGGTAAAACAACTCTACAATTTGTGTTGTCTGTCAACACTTTTGGGGCTCGTTGGTGTAACGGTAACAAAGGCAAAATCAACCGGTCGTGGGTTTAGACCCCACAGGGTCCAAGATTGTTCTAATGAATTTATATATATTTAAATACTGTCTATAGTTTACGCGAGAAGTACACATTTAAATAAAACACTTTAACGGTTAAAACGCGATATATTAGTTAAACTTATTTGAAAATGATTTTTAACTTCGGCCCGACGTTTCTTTCCGTGACCACGGCTGCTGCAAAGCAAATAAGTTTAACTAATATATCGCGTTTTAAACCGTTAAAGTGTTTTATTTAAATTATATATACTTTTTAAACATGTCGGACATCTGGATATCTACAATGTGTTGTAGGAATATCGACATTCCGTATGGGTCGCGAACCACCGTTGGATGAAAAAGTCGTCTCGTTTCGGATTCAGTCTGATATCCGAATATCCAAAGCCAAAATAGACCGACAGCGCATTTTGTTTAGATGTTATATGGCTGGGGTATGTCACCTACTATCAAGTGTACTATATCCTTGTATATCCTCTCTCATAAAAAACAAATGCACAACTACTGCAGTACTGCTATTAAGCAAATAATGAGTTAAGCACTATTATATTGAACATACCTTTGGGGCAGTTTCAGGATCTGACCTCAGATTTGCAATATACCTATCGTAGTAACCTCCCCCGTGACCAACGCGACCACCGTCACGCGAAAACGCTACACCAGGTGCTATTATTAGGTCCAACCCTGAAAAGTAATCAAAATCATTTGAAATTCTTGTTTTATTTCAATAATACACTTTAACGGTTTAAAACGCGATGTTTTTTAGTTAAAATTATAAGGAAATTGTTTAACTACGGCCCGACGTTTCGGATGCTTAGTCTCTCCGTGACCACAGCTGCTGCAAAACATGCAAAACTAGTTTGACTAATGCATATCGCGTTTTAATCCGTTAAAGTGTGTTATTGAAATAAAACAAGATTTTCTAATAATTTAAATTAAAATTTAAACAAGCCTTCGTGTTAATAAACTGATTATTTATTTATTACTTAATACTGGAGGTTTCTCTCGATTTTCAATGATTTATGGGTTAAATATTGTCTGTAGTTTACACGTTGATAAAAAAACACTTTACAGTTTAAAACGCAATATTAGTTAATAGCTTAACTTAAAAAAAAGGTGTATTATTTAAAAGATATAAGGGTTTAGAAATTGTAGGACCTAACCAGACTCTAAAGCATCCTCTCTCTTTTGATCCTTCGAGTGCTGAGCTATCCCGTGTCTGGTCAGAGGCATCGACTCTTCGTCACCGGCCTCCAGCTTCAACATCTTCATGATACCTCCAGCATATTGTGGCACGAAAGCTGAAGCACCACGAGCCTTGATATGCGATATGATCGGAGCTGTGTTCACCTCATCATCTGTACTCATGAAGATCGTAATCCGATTCGCGGATTTATAAAACGGATGATTGATTATCTGAAATACAAAGTTTTAACATTACTTGTTGCTGTTTTGTTACTTTCCTTAAGTTGTTCTAACTTTTTTGGTTATAAAGCCATTTACGCCAATACATACTAACCTAACGCCACGTTCATACTGTTGGGGTTTGTTTTTCACCTGTTCGGATAAACGAGTCGGATAAAGATTTAGATTGAAAAAAAAAAAATACGACATTCACAGCGTTCCGTGCTGTTGCTCTAACCATTATATCGTAGCCTGAAATCTGAATGCCATGGTCGATTTTTTTCAACCTATTGATTATATTGATAAGGTTGAAATTTCATTGCGCGAGAGGTATATGTTTTATTATACGAAATTCAAAAAAAAATCAATGCTCGAATAACGGCGAGTATATCTTTCATTGGATTTCGTCTATTATGACAATGTATATATGTAAAATATTAAATAAATAAATAATTTATCATATTTGGAACAGTTTTATTTGGAAATAGTTCATTTTAAAAACGAGGAAAATGAAATAAATCAGATCTTAAACATACAGAGGTTAAAGATAAGGGGCTATAACGATTTTAACGCCTTGTTGTTATTTTGACATTACGCAGATAAACGTAAGATGGCATTTGATAAATTAAATGATGCAAACAATATTTTATTATGAACTAACCTGCAATTTATAAATAACATTATTAATACATGAGGAAGTGTATTTTGTACTTTTTAGGAGTACGTGAAGATTGTAAAATTCATTTTGGCGATAAAAGGAGTAGCGGCGAGTTTCTTGACAGTTCTTCTCGTTCTTTCTACGCCCTTATTGAGTCTTTAAGTTTTAACTGGTGTGAGCTAGTTATATCTACGTAAATAAATTATTTTTACTTTCTCTTGACTTTTCCTTTGTAATTTTTGAGTTTAGTAAAGTTAAACCATCTTTGTCCTAATTTTCTTTTTTAGTCTCTATTCAATTAACAACACTATTTTTATTTAAATAACATAAAAACGGTTTTAAATATTATAGGCTCAACTTTACTTTACATACAATAAGTACTATCAATCATAACATTTTCAGCACTCAAATCGATTGTATGTAAAGCTGAGCCATATTATGTACGATCAAAGTGTCGACATTTAAAAACCAAAGCTGACCTTTTTGAAGACAATGTCTGATTGTCGCTTTTTTTCTTCCGGTGACATTTTGGCGATCTCGTCAGCTATCTTCTTGCGAAGTTCAACTTTCTCTGGGTCTGGCGTTCTTCCACTCATTTTGTCTTAAACACATACACATTACACTCACACACGTAAGTCATTTATTTTTATTTTACATCATTGTTACCGGCCGGTTTTGTCAATGTTTATCGTTGTCGTTTAAACATTTTTATATACTTAGAAGTTGTTACGGGTAAAAACAGTTAATAGAGAAAAAAGTTTAATTGTTAAGTTCCTATAGATTACATTTAACTTTGTAGTCACATTAATAAAATACATTAAAAAAATAAGAATTTAAAACAAATGTCTACTTACATCTTATCGTACCGTATTTGCACGTAATTTCATCAATACTTGTGAAACGAAACTGCGATAACAAGCGAGATAACTTTATCATTTCCCAACGAGAACTGCGGCCATCCGCCATGTGTGTGTTTTGTATAAACTACAAAACGTAAACAACAATGGAACATTAAGATCAACGCCATCTATTGGAGATTTGTGAAACTTAATATAAAGCGCTGTTAGTAAAGTCTTCGTAACTACCGCCATCTAACGCCATTAAGTAAAGGAGATATATTTTACGTGACATTTAAAACGTAAAAATTTAAATAATATGTCATAATAAGTAAAGAATTGTTATTTAACAGTTTAAACGTTATTATTTTGTAACTAAGATTTATTATGAGAGAAAAGCTGGACTTAACTGCAACTCGTAAAATAGTATGTCCCTGATGTGCCTTACAAAATGGTTATATTTTAAGTAAGGCTATAATAAAGGTTTTTTAAGCGTCCTTTAAAACACACAAACGTTCAAATATTTGTTTACGTCGTCTTTAGACACATTTTAAAAACTTCTGTATTTATACATTTACGAAAGTTCACGGGTCTAGCTCTATAACTTAGTTAAATGTTATCAATCTATTAATGAGGCTAAGAAAGGTCACGATCATTAAATGGAGGTGTTTTATAATTTACAACGCAATTACATACATATCACAAAATAAGAGGGAACGACGCTGAATTTTGATCACTTTAATTTACAGAAGCGAAACTTTAGCAAACTACACTGTATTTTCTCATAATTAAACACGACATTTTATATATACATTTAAGATTTTCTCTTGTTATTAGAAATACGGAGATGATAATGAAAATGTTCATTTGTGAATGCATTCAGAATTTTGACTGTATTCTATATTTATATCCTTTGTATCTTGCTTAGAAGAGATAGCTTGATATGTAATAAGACCGCTCCTTGCTTTAAATGTTCTAATTATATTTATTTGTTTTATGATCATGTTTTTTTATATGTAAGTCTATTTTATAATAATTTGCGGCTTTCAAGAAATGAACACATACAAAATGAACTGAATACCTTCCTAACGATTATAAAAAAAAAGATATATTCAATATATCCAATTCCGACTGCTTCTTATTTTTTTTATCCTTATTCTATTTGAAGGCAATGTTGGTCTCATAACTAAATGATATTTGAAAATGACTAGTTTCATTCAAGGACTTATTTATGCACTTTTAAAGTATGTTTTTATTATTTTAGACTAAATTATAATAGCCTAACCAAACTATAACAAAATATAAAAAAAATGTGATTAAAATATGGATTATAAAGGCATATTTAATTGTTTATTGCAGCGGACCCAGGCATACAACAGGGAGGTATTATGGGACCTTTAGGATTTATATTGTTCACGTATGACCTCAATGTTCTTTCTTTGTATTAGAGTGGCGAGGGGCGTGAATGACAGCTAGCGGCAGCTTGCGCCTTACGATCCGCAGTCCGCAACATCAAACGGCGCCCCACAGCCCAGTTGGGATCTAGTCGTGGTCTGTGGAGGGTGTGCGTCACACCTTCGTACGAGCCGAAACTTTGTTACGTCAAATCAATGGATATAACCTAACACTCCACAGGTATCGCAATTTGAATATGGAATGTGATTTTCTACCATAATAAACTTATGGGTTAAGTGTTAAAAGTGACGTGTTCCCGAAACGATGTGATTTAGTTCAGTGCAGTGGTTATAAAAAACCAAGTTATGAGCATTCAAAAGTGTCTCTTGGATAACTCCTCCAGGATGATAAAAGCGATGTCAAATGCGAAATCTTCTAACAATGAAGTTAAAACGGTGAGTACAGTTACAATTTCGCTGCTGTAACAAAGGATTTTGTGAACAATTAGGTTATCTGTAGTTTAAAGATTTAGGTTATAAATGCGAATATTGTTGCTTTAGCTGTATTAAAACGGTGAATGGATAATTTGTTTTGTTTAGTTTTAAGGAATAGGATAATAACAATAAGACAAAATAGAAGGATAATTAATATTATTAATTTGTATTTGTTAATTGTGTTGTTCAGTATTTATCACCAGTGACATTATTTCGCGTATGTTGACGGAATTGAAGAATACTTCGTAAATAACGCAATTTCTTGTCTACATTAAGTTACTGTATTGGCATTAATTTTATTTATTCGTCTCTTATTGCCATTAGGTTTAATTGATGCCGTTCAACGAACTTATTCGACCTTAATCTAATGTTGAGTGAAAAACTACATTCTTTTATTAATTTAAATAACTCATTTAACGCGGTTTAAACGCGAAATGTATTAGTTAAATTATTTAGAAATTATTTTAACTAGCGCCCGACGTTTTGGGTCTTGTAAAGCGTTTCGCGTTTCAAACCGTTAAAGGTGATTTATTGAAATGTGTAACCAGATTTTTTATGCATTTTTGTTTTTTATTTCCCTTGCCCTTTTTAACGATTATCACTTATTTAGTAAATATGTGATATAATTAATTAAAATATCATCTTCATTTTAATAAATTATATGAAGGACATATTAATATTTTGGTATGTTACTACTTATAGATATAGTCTTTGTGCAAACGACATAATACTGAAATATTTCTTCTTGTTGTTAATAGGAGCGTACTGTATATTTAACTAAGTACTATTTTTTAAGTTTTTCCAATGCTTAGTTCGCGTAAATTTATCTTTTCGTACCAATTCCTACTCAATCTTATATAGGACATACTAAAACGAGAGTGTAAAGATTTAATTTCAAATAAAAAATTTAACATTTTAGTATTGATTTGAGGGATTAGTTAAAACTGATTACGTTTATTGGTGTTGATAAGATAGGGACATCAAAAAAATCTCGCAATTCCACAAAAATCAGGACAGACTACAAAATATGTTGATTCAATTAGTGCTTTTTATAGACATTGCCACTTAAAAGCTTACTAAAGAGATCTACTTTTGTGAGTTTGTATTATTTTAAACGTATTAATATTTAATTTAAATAAAACACTTTTACGGTTTTAAACGCGATATATTTTAGTTAAACTTGTTTAAAAACTAACTAAAATATATCACGTTTTAAACCGTTAAAGTGTTTTATTTAAATATGTACTTCTCGCGTAAACTACAGACAGTATTATTATTTAAGTCATATTTCTTATTATTAGCCCTTATTAGTCTTATCCTTAGAGTGAGTTTGAAATTAAACTGTAAATTGTTAAGGCACTAAAATTAACTTTTTTGTAATAATTCAATTTTTATCTTAAATTTGCACAAGTACACATATAAATAAAACACTTTACGATCGTAGTCACGGGGGACAGGATAAGTCCCTGCTGCTGCATCCTAAATGTATACAGATAAGTGAACTAATATATGTCGCGTTTAAAACCGTTAAGAGCGGTTAAGTGAGTGGTAACTAGTAAGCCACAATACGAATAATATAAGATTTCATATTTTTGATATTTTACTGAATAAATCAATTTCTTCGTTAAGTACGCATTTATTTTTAGGAGAAAAAGTACTTATATGTATAGTCGATTGCATTCGATGAGATTCTGATTAGATAGATTTCTGGAAACACGAACTGATGTTAATTCCAACCTCAGTCGACCACTTGTTGCTTGGTTTATCTGATATTTTTGCGGCGTACTTAACATCTTATCAGATAACAACGGCCGTTTGATTGTCTGCCTTGTTAAAACACATAGGATGATCAAGATTGACCCTGTGTAATCTCGCGTTTCCTTATTTTTTAGGGTACCGCAAACAAACTGCTAAGTAGCTAGTAGTATACCTGTGTTACTTCTCTATTCTTCTGATTTAATACCCAGATTTGCAAAAGTCCATTATGTTTCAGAAAAATAAATTTATCAGAAAATCTTAGACTCGGTGGGGATCGAATCCACGAAGTGTTGATTATAAGCCAAAAATGTTATAATAAATCTGACATTTTTACAAATAACGTGGTACTGTTGCCACTATAAAAAGAAATACCAACCACAAACAAAACTAAATTAATATCAAACGGAGCTTCCATACAAAAAATCTATTATACGTATTATTGCTGGATGTCAATAACAGGTAGGCAAATTCAGGTTGCAATGTGAAATTTGTGTACCTGCATCTATCTAGTGACGAGCCAATAGTACGGAACCCTTTGTCCGAAGCCCCGACTCGCACTTCCAACATTTTTTTTATCCCGGTGTTACCATTATACGAGGCTGCTAGAACTACGTCTATTCATGTACATTTTTCAACGAGTTTCCATATCATTCGCTTATCAAGAGATTATACGGTCAATAAATGGTTTTGCATTGTTGGACATCTGGACACCGCGAGTGTCCTTCATACTTCATTGCCGCTTAATCAACTAGTATTAATCAATTTCTTGGATCTACAAACGCTTTTAAATAAAACACGTGGTGGTCACGGGGAGACTACGGCTGCTGCAAAGCATCCGAAACGTCGGGCCGAAGTTAAAAATCATTTTCAAATAAGTTTAACTAATATATCGCGTTTTAAACCGTTAAAGTGTTTTATTTAAATGTGTACTACTCGCGTAAACTATAGACAGTATTCTACAAACGCTGTCAAATGCTTCATAAGTACCTCAAGTACTTATAGAATTGGTCTTTCAGAAAAAGGAAAATTCATTAAAAAAGCTTTAGTATTGCACACGATGGTATTATATAAAGTAAAAAACAGTTTCACAATGCTATTGACGTGTAGAACAATAGTTAGCTACATTACGAATCGCTGTCGATGCCAGTTCAAGTCCTGCCCGTGTAGGAAATTTTTTTTAATCTAAAATTAATTTCTAATTGATACTTTAATAGATTCGTTCAAGTTATGATAATGTCGTTCAGTTTTTGTAGTTTAAAATTAATTAAATAATATAATTATCGCCTGATTGTCCTACAGTTACAATTGAAGGTAAATGAAGACATTTTGACTAATTAAAAGTGACCTATGCTTTAAACCGTGAACTAGATGTGTATTTTTTTTAATACAACCCGAAATATTCTATGTATCCATATATATGCGATTATCACACTAAACATAAATAAATTAAGTATTAATTTTATTTAATTTTAATTCCGTTAAAAAGTGTTTTATTCAATGTGTAAACTTTCGGTTTAACTTAATGTTCTAATTTTGAAAATACTTTTTCGTATAGCAGTCAATGTGAAGGAATTGCAATATATAATAGTTACCAGTCAGTCACTAGTTAGCCTGAGTAACTTTTCTACACAAAGTATTCTATACACAGTGTGTTAATACATTTTATTTCTTTGCAAAATGTATTCAATATTCTATACCTCTTCCTATTGTTTTTTGCTTCGCGTCGAATTACGCATTATCGATAGAAATATGATTTCGTATGTAGATAATTTTTATTATCATAATACATGTCTACATAGAACATGAATATTATATCGTTTGAAAACTTTAATATTTTTCACATGTGCCGTTATGTGCAATACACATAATGGCACTATATAATTTAAAAATCGAAAATAAATTTTTAAAAATTCGACTCGGGCTGGACTTGAAGTTTTTTTAGGTTGAAAAAATTCGACAATGAGGTGCAGGATTCGGTAGCTCAATTGGTAGAGCAACAGCACGGCACGCTGACGATGCCGGTTCAAGTCCTGCCCGAGTCGCAAATTTTTTAAATTCATTTTCGATTTTTATATTATATCGTTACCAATCTATACTCTTTAGCATAGAATATAGACTGGTAACGAGTGTATAATAACGAATATTAAAAATAACTATCTTGCTATAAGTTTAATTATAGCGTACACTGTTTTTAAATTTATTTATTAGCTGTCAAAACAGGGTAGAAATTAAATATCACGTATTTTAAAACCACAGTTAAAAACACAATTCTACGAAATTTTACTGAGATCACTCCGGAATTGATATTAAAAGATAGATCTTGGCGAGTACACAACAAACTTAACGTATATATGTTATATCTGTCTAGAACACCTTTAACTTAAGTTAAAAGTAGTTTAGTTCGAACCAAAGCCAAAAATAGTTCGGCAGCGCTGATGTTGTATAAATGTTATGTAGCTGAGGTATTGCTTGTCTGTTCTTCATAATTAAAGGTTTAAATAAATATATATTACTAACTGACCTGTCATTCGTTCTTTTGCCATATAAAGTACTTCGATCAATTTTATTAGCATAAGAACGGTTTATCTTAAGAGATCGCGTGACCACGCGTGCTGTAAAGTATCCGAAACGTCGGACTGTAGATAAAACCTTTCAAATAAGTTTAACTAATGTTTATCTCGTTTTAAACTGTTAAAGCGTTTTTAGATAGACACATATTTTCGTCAGTATAGTATTACATATTTTCGGTTTTTTTTTAGATTAATTAAAAAGAAAATAACCGAATCTTAAACCGTTTTCGCGACGTACGCAACGTAATCCTTCAAAGTGAATTATTTTCCCCGTTTTTTTTCACATCTTACACTGTTTCTTCGCTCCTGTTCGTCGAAGCCTGATGTTCAAAACATCAGCCTTCCTAAAAAAAATAGTTTTTTCAATTCGAGCTGGTGGTTGATATTGACGCGTCCAAACTCTTCACCTTTATAATAACTGTATAGATTTTTGCGATTGTGCAATCCACTCTCCAGTTATAAAGTATATTGTACTTCCTTTGTATATATACATAGCTGTATCAACAAGCAACAGAATTCTGAGTACAGTAATCAATAAATGTACTGGTGGTTAGTGAAAATAGGCCATTCAATACGTGCACTTGAGATGAGAATTATTTATACCTCAACGAAATTGATAAACTCAACGCTGTG